TTTGGCTCAAATCTTCTAGTGAATTCCACCAACCTTCACTTTCTTCCTCGGATTCCTTGTCCTCCACAAATGCAACATGTTCATAGTTTTTCAAGATCTTCGGGTCAGTGACCAAAGATCTAACACCAAAAGCTCTTGGCCCTGTCCAATGTGGACTACCGACATCTGGTTTCAAGAGAACGTTAAACAAACACTTCTGTCCAAGGAAGCGATTCAATTCGGTTGGGAGCAAATTCGGATCCATGTTTCTCTGTTCAAAAAAACAATAATATACAAAAAATTAGACATACGAATATACTACTTTTACAAATTTTTTATGAAACATAGATTCCGAAAATAACCTCTAGCATAATCTCTCTCAATAAGAAGGCACTTGCACCCAAGACATTCTTGCATTCTTTGTCCCAAAGAATGAATGAGGCATGACCGGTTGAGTCGTAAACACGAACATTAACTTTGAACCTATTTCATAAAGTGTAAAACGTGCATTAACAATATGTCACATAGCAACATAAATGATTTGTAATTTTAAATAATCAAAAAGAAATTAAACAATAGTTACTTGTAAACTCCATGAGGAATAGTAATGCGACATCCGGAACACCTGAAACTCTCGCCATCGGGGATTACTTTCTTGTTGCAATCAGTACATCCCAAATAACACCAATCAGCAACATTTTCTAGAGATGCTATTTCACCAACAATCCAATATGGCCCAGGCTGTCAATAGATTCAATATTTTTGTTAGGTCTAAGTGTATTATATTTTTTCGTCTCAATGTGAAAGTGTTATTTTATTACCTTAGTTGTCTCCAATAGATTTCTAATTGTGGTTATAGACATAACCCCGTGATCATCATCATCCACCCCAGCTAGCATGAGACCACCCACTGGACCCCCATCATCAACATGCAATGGTAACCTACAATATTTCATTATTACATAGTTAGTAGACAAAAAAATAATAATAATTTCGGCTGAAAAAAATAATATAAAATAGATTGTTACCTTGCTCTAAATGCATTGACCTCAGCGGAATTGCCATCAAAAATCATATTTGTTACGTGGAATGAAGTTGAAACCGTCACAGTACCTACACAAAGAATTTAGCTTTAGTAACACAATATTAAAATTTATATTGCAATTAAAGTTTGAGGAATTTTATCTTACCCATGTAGCG